TGAATGAAATGTCTTGTCGTTAAGGATGAGGCCTTCATTTTGAGTAGGTTTAGACAAGGCCTAAGAGAAGATCTAAGGCATGAGCTCTTCCTTCGGGGTATCATTACTTTTGATCACGCTTACTCGTTGGCTCGGGACTACGAATTACTTATTGTACTCCAAATGAAAAGCGTGGTCACCATCATTCACCCATCTCCTCAGCATCACCTCGTATAAGTTTATCATAGAACCTTCCCCGTCTAATGTTCCTACCATCGGGGAAAATAAGTGTAAAGGTCATGATATCCCAAGACCTTCTTCGTATCGAAGGCGTAGTGACATTCGCCCTTTTCCTCTCATCGACGCCATCTCCTATTAAGTCCCTTCTAGGACCTCCCCATCTAATGCTCCTCCTCTATTGGAAAATAAGGGTCAAGATTTTGAAACTCCAGTAAATTCTCCTCACTTGCAATGCTTCAAATGTAAGGACTTTGGTCACATTTCTCCCAAATGTCCTAGTCGAACGCTAATCATTGAGGAACGAAATGATGTAATGGATGATCAGTTAGAAGATCAAGTCTATGAACCTAAACTTGAAGAATTTGATGATTTGAATGATATTGAGGATACTTCCTTATGTAGTATCTGGACTTTTCCTATGAATTCAGGGGTTTACCCTTGCTCTCGATACCTCTAGTCAAATGTTGTATGTTGTACCCTTATCCAACCTTCCTGATGATTTGCGTAATCATACCATTTTCAAGGAAAATATTAGGAATTGGAATTTAATCCTCCCAACAATTTAAATTGGACATAACAATTTTGTGAATCAGTTTATAAATATGAGTTCCGTCGAAGTTATTCATGGTTATAAGTCTAGGAAGCCTTTAGACCTTGTTCCAATGTCCCCACATGCTAGTGTGTCTACGTCAGTTGAGACATGCGTACATCATCTTCATGACTTGTATATTGAGATTAATAAACAATTTGAAGTAAATAATGCATTATATAAACTTCAAGCTGTTTTGCATAAGCAAAATTTTGAATTTAATATTAGGGATTATGTTATATTGTAAGCTTGTAGAGTTGTCCTAATGAAATTTTAAAGCATGTTGGTTTAAATACATGTATCATTGATCTTTTATCACATTTTGGCCACCACTCTATTTTAACTGTTAAGGACTTCGTTGCCTACGAAGGCTACTTTAACCCCTCTAATGATCATTTTCTACCTTTACATGGGAATTCCTACAATGAATCTTTTGCTATGTCTATTCCAATACCACCTATCTCAGCACACAAAGATAAGATTGAATTGTATTGACCAATGATAGAGATATCCAGTGCTTTCTTGATCGTTGGGTGGATTGACTGGATTCTGATGATACATGGATATCCAGAAAGAGACTTCAACA